GCCCCTCCTCGGAACCCTGCGCTAGCGCCCCCCGCACTGCTCCGACCTGCCCCGTCTAAACACGGACGGGGACGTTTCCACGCTCGAGACCCCCGTCAGCTCTGGCTGCTCAGGGTGCTCCCCCAGCCCCTTCGCGACGCGGGCAGACGGCAGCGGCGGTCCCGGGGAGCGTTCCTGACCGTTCCCCGGGCAGGGAGAGGCTTTGTAGAATAGCAGGGAGGCAAGGCCTGCCTCGGGCCAGCAGCTACCCGAGTGATGAAGCTCAGATGAGCGCCTACGGGCGTCACCTGCTGCAGCAGCGGGACCTCAGGACACCGGGCCTGGCAGGCTAGCACAAGCGAGCAGGCTGGGAAGCGATTTAGTCAGCTGGAGGCTTCTCAAGAGCAGCAAGCGACCCTGCCTAATTCTGGGCAGTAAGCAAGGTAGGGAAGTTACTTCAGACCAAAGGTGGTGTCAGGGCCTTAAAATGCTCTATTACCTGCTTGGAAGCAGGAGGGAGCAGACTAGATGGTCATTCAGTTATAATGCAAGAAAAGTAGGAAAAGATACGGTTGTGCTTTGAACTAAAAGTCAATGGCGTACAGACCATTTCACGCTTCGGCCAAAAAAAAAAAAAAGTGACTGCAGAGCAATGAGTGGTTCAGAAGGGCAACGACAACAAAAGCTGATCAGTAGCATGGTATTAGAGGTGGAAGAATAGATCAGGATTTCCTTACCTCCAAAAGGAGATTGCTCTGTAGCACTAGCTTGTCACCGAAAGAAACAGTTAAGTATAATATCTGGACAAGACAACTTTCAGTTTAAATTTAAAGGCTTTCACTCCATGTTTTCCACAGGTACGTAAGGTACACTGTAGAATTCATTGCAACTGGAACCTAGGATCCATGATCTTAACAAGATCCATCAAGTCTTGGGACATACAGATGCAATCAGGAGCAACTGAGTTATTGGGCAAAAAAACTCTGCAGAAAAACCACTGCAGGTTTAGCAGGGGTATGAAGCCTTGCGTTCTGGGAATCAGCAAAGCTCTAACTACATGGTCAGAGTGAGACCTGATACAGGAGCCACGTTGCCCTGCAGTAAGATGAGAGGCTTCTAGTTGACATATCTGATTTGAGCTACTCCAAGATGAGTTTCTGAACTGGGTAGCAAAGCCTGATCCAGCCTGGCAGGCTCATTCTTGGCAGTAGTCTTGTCTTAAGTAGCCCCTGGAGTCTGTTGCTTTTATGTTGCTACCTTAATTGTGCCTATATGCCTGTTTCTGGGATTACACAAACAGTATTGGGGAATAAATTCAGGTAAAAGTAACTGATATTTTTTCCTCACAGCTATTTTTAAACCAGTTGAGTTTGCTGATCCCATTCACAGTGCAGCTGTCCTGGCAGTCATACCAGGAGAGCCAATGTCAGGGTGCAGCAAGAAGAAGGAGAGCTGGGCGGGGGGAGGTAGGTCCCAAGGCCAGCAAGGCTGGGCCCTCATCAGCCACGGTCCATCCCACAGTACCTGAGCAAGGAGAGCCAGGGTAGTGGCCAGGTTTTACCAAGAATTGAGACAGCCAGGCAAGCTCATGGGGATGAGGTAGTCTGCAGTCAAGCTGGTAAGCCAGCCTACAGGTCAGGATCAACAATGTACAGACAGAGACCACTACACCTCAAACTTAGCTCAGACAGGGACTGGTAGCTCTGGGCTGAGCTTAAATGAAAAGACCCATCCTCCCACCCCCCCCATGGGCAGGGGTGTGGGTAGAGGCCCCCAGTGAGGCTGCTCAGGGTAATTAAGGCCTGTTAGTGCATTCAGGGCCCTGACAGCTGAAGCTAGACAGAAGGATGGGAGAGGGAGTGTATGGTAGCAGGGTGGAGGCTGTGTAACCTGCATCTTCTTGTGTAGAGGAGCAAGTTCAGGGGATGAGTGTGCATTGGGAGTGGTGGTGTTCATGTTGGCTTGCGCAGTCTCACCTGAGTTGCTTGCTCCCACCTTGTCACCATCTGTTGTGCAGTGCTGCTCTCCTCGCTGGCTTTGTTCTCCCTAGGTCTGTGTTTCGTTGTGTGATGGTGCAGGGGTTAGGAGGGACAGAGTCTCTTCATGCTGGCATCACCCCAGCTGGGGCTTGTGAGAGAGAAACGGCATGTGGCCAGGAGGAGCCAAGGCAGCCTCAGAGGCCAGTAAGTCAGTGTCACGCTTTGTCTCTGCCTGTCTGTGCTAGGAGACATGGGGAGATAAAGTGCAAGCTCCTCTCCTCTGTGAAGGGTACACAGTTTTTGTTTGCTGTGCTGTGTCTTAGGAAGGCTTGCTACAGCAGGGTTACTCCAACTTCTCTACCTCAGCTGGGTCCCTTGCAGGCCTTCCAGCCCATTCTGGTTGCTCCAAGTCCTGGCAAGGCTGCTGATCCTGTCCATCAGTTTTACATAAAAGCAGCAGGAAGAGCATGCTGCTGGTCTGAGAAACAGTCAGCTTCTTTTTGTTGCTTTTGTCAGTACAGGAAAGACCTCCTGCTGCTGACTGTTCCCTGCGAGCGCGTGCTGTCACTGCACAGTTCTTGCTATTTCCTGCATCTGTTTCTTCTGCATCTCATGTGCTTTGGTGCTGAATTTCTGAGCTTCAAGCCAGCAGCCTGATCTTTGGCCTTCAGCTTCCCTGTCCATCTACATCACATCTGACATCTGCCTCTTTCCTCCTGACTGCTGTGACACCAGACCCTGAGCCCAATGTAGCCTCCTAATCAGAGATTGCCTTGCTGTGACCCACCTCTGTCAGTAAAAGATAGTCCCCCAGCATCATCCAAGAGAGCAAAGGAAAGCAAAGGAAGGAGACCAGGCCTGTTCCTGGATTCTGCCACACCACTGGGGACGCATTTTCAGTACAGAAGTCTTGTTGTCTGAAGGCTTGAGGTTACTGTGAAAGAGAGCTGGAGAGGCTTGGGAGTGAAGTGCTGTGATGGGGATAAAATCTGCCCTGGACTTGCAGGTCTGAGCCAAAGAAAAGAGAAAGTGCTTCTCTGGGAGTCTGTCCAGAAGCAGGGTGGCAGAGGGGAAGAGGTACCTTGCTCTCTTCTCCCTAGCCAGCAAAGAACATGGGTGAAAGGACTGCTGGAGAGAGAGGGCGGTGGCTGAGTCCTGCTGTCCTACTCAGACCCGTTGGCCTCTCATGTTTTTGCTGAATGAGACCATTAGGGAAGGGGGACTGGCAAGTTCAGTCAACTACCTGAAAAATAACTGGGAGATATAGTTTCCCATGGATCACAGCGTGAGTGGTGAGGTACCAGAAATCTACAATGATGCCTTGGGGAGAGGAGCGATTCCTAACACAAGTCTGTTACTTTTTTTTTTTTCTTCTTCTTCTTTTTCTTTCTTTCTTACCAAGCAGTTTATGTGATTTCCCCTGGGGATAGTCAGTAACCCTGGGAGAGAGCTCTGCTCAGTATTTCAGGGCAGCCTGGCTGTTTTCAGTGGGAGAAAGAGCAAGCCACAGATGGAGGAAAGGAGGAGTCCGACAGAAAGCATTGCTCCTCTCACTGGAGCAAGGGACAGGTTCTCAGCAGTTATGTCCCTTCCCAGAGTAAGAAGATGCTCCAAATTTCCTGTGGTTTCAGGGATCATATAGAAAACTTTTCCTTGGGTTGGGTTAGGTTTCTGTCAGGTCAGCAAGCTGCCCTGTGTTCCCGTAAGGCCATATGTTCACTAGGATTGATGCAAGGAAAGCAGCTGGCTGAGGGTCACGGGTGACCAGCCTGCCAGTGTGCCTAATTTGAGTGTAATTAGTAGCTACCTCCCTAGGAAAAAGTACAGCACCAAGGCAGGCAGCCATGTCACACGCTGACTCCATGCAATGCTTCCAGCAAGATCTAAGATAAGGAGCTAATACACTATGTGTAGAGTGAATATTTTGTTCAGGTTTACAACTTACACAATTTTACTGCAGTCTTACAAATGTTGTGGTTTGGAGAAAAGCCAGCAAAGGTAGAAGAAACACATACATTAAGGAGCACAACAGACAGGTAACTTGAGAGATACTGAGGAGCACAGTCATGGCTGGCTTGATCAGATTTGGGGTTGTGTTGCA